GGTCCCCATCTTTAAGAAAGGGAACCGGAGGGTGTGTTCCAACTACAGGGGAATCACACTCCTCAGTCTATGCCAGGGTGCTGAAGAGGAGAGTTTCTTTAGTCCAACCTCGGATACAGGAGGAACAATGCGGTTTTCGTCCTGGTCATGGAACACTGGACCAGCTCTTTATCTTATCAAGGATACTTGAGGGTGTATGGGAGTTTGCCCAAACAGAACAACATGTGTTTTTTGGACTTGGAGAAGGCATTCGACCGTGTCCCTCGGGGGGTCCTGTGGGTGGTGCTCCGGGAGTATGGGGTGTCTGCCCATTGCTACAGGCCATTCAGTCCTTATACAACCGTTGCAAGAGCTTGGTCCGCATAGCCGGCAATTATTCAGACTCGTTCCTGGTGTTGATGGGGTCTGCCAGGGCTGCCCTTTGTCACCGATTCTGTTCATAATTTTTATGGACAGAATTTCTAGGCGCAGCCAAGATGTGGAGGGCTTTCTCAGGATCTCATCTCTGCTTTTCACAGATGATGTGGTTCTGTTGGCTTCATCAGGTGATGGCCTGCAGCTCGTCTTGGGACGGTTCACAGCCGAGTGTGAAATGGTGGGAATGAGAATCAGCATCTCCAAATCTGAGGCCATGGTCCTCAGCCGGAAAAAGGGTGGAGTGCCCACTCCGGGTCAGGGACGAGACCCTGCCCCAAGTGGAGGAGTTTAAGTATCTCAGGGTCTTGTTCACGAGTGAAGGGAGAAGGGAGCGGGAGATCGACAGACAGATTGGGGCTGCAGCTGCAGTGATGCAGATGCTGTACTGGTCTGCTGTGGTGAAGCGACAGCTGAGTGTGTCTGAGTCGAGATCTGGGCTTCTCTGCTTGGGCTGCTGCCCCCACGACCCGGCCCCGGATAAGCGGAAGAAAATGAATGGATGGATGGATGCTTCCCTTAGGCAGTATCATCAGAAGCCATAATATACATTTTCACTGCTATGCAGATGAACCCAGCCAGAGTGCTTGCTCATAGGGGGTCATGTGAATTTTGGGTTTTTCTCTGTATGTATTATTGTACAATATTGGTGATCGTGGCTTAAGAGTTGGCAGTTTGTCTTGTAATCGGAAGGTTGCTGGTTTGAATCCTGGTTCTGCAAGTCGCGGTCAATGTGTCCTTGGGCAAGACACTTCACCCGTTGCCTACTGGTGGTGGTCAGAGGGCCCGGTGGCGCCAGTGTCCGGCAGCCTCGCCTCTGTCAGTGCGCCCCAGGGTGGCTGTGGCTACAATGTAGCTTGCCATCACCAGTGTGTGAATGTGTGTGTGAATGGGTGGATGACTGGATGTAATGTAAAGCACTATACAAATACAGGCCATTTACCTTTTACCAATATAAAGGACCTTGAGGCGGCGGTGTTTGTGATTTGAATCAGAATCAGAATGGGGTTTATTGCCAAATGTTGAGCAGGTTTACAACATTAGGAAATTGCTGCGGTGCTTCAGTGATGCAGATGCTGTACTGGTCTGCTGTGGTGAAGAGACAGCTGAGTGTGTCTGAGTGGAGATCTGGGCTTCTCTGCTTGGGCTGCTGCCCCCACGACCCGGCGCTGTATTAATAAAATTGAATTGAATTGAATGAACTAACCTCAGCTAACGCCAGCTAACATTGTTAGCTCGGTGCTGAATATCTTTCATTAATAGTAATAAAGATGACACAGCAATAGTACATTGAAGATAATGAAGTTTCCCATTTTTATTATGAATTGTTGTCGGATTTTCCAAGTAAGAAATGCATTCCTGCCCGTGCACTGCTGGCTCTGGGTCCATTGTGTAACTGACGCCACCAACATTAACAGGACGCTGACATTAGAGCCTCTTATTGCATGTTTTGTTTGGGTGTCCAGCAATCAGAATCAGAGAAACTTTATTAATCCCAGATGGAAATTGAGTTCAAAAATCTTTTTCTAAAAACGAGCCATGGGTCGTACTCAAACCCCGAACAGCCGCTGCCAGTCATGTGATTTATGACTACAAGCTCATCCAACTGAGCTACACCTGCACCTGACAGTGTTTAATCACCAAAATTGGAGAAGGCACAGAGAGGGGATAGCCTAACAAATGCAACCAGAAATGACCACTTCAACAAAGTCCCAGCTCGTGGGAAGGACAAAAAAGGAAGCCACGTGTGATATTTTAGCAAAGTGTTTAATTAAGATAACCACAGCAAAGTAATCTTTTTCAAACAGTGTTTATTTCTGTTGTTCTGATTTATCTATTTTTGCTTTACCATAATTCAGTGACAGCAACTACAACAGAAAGGATTTCTCTCTGGCTTACGTTTTTACCTAATGCTTGTCTTTTTGTGAGGTTTATATCAGTTCACTTCATAAAAACAACTTTTTAACATCAAGATAAAAAAAACTTTATTAACATGAAACTGACATGACGGTGGCGTGGTTATGTATTATACTGAACATCTTACACATATATGAAAAATCACAGCTACATGGATGGCTTATATTTTAGAGGAAGGAGACTTGATCATATTGTTTTTAGATGCTGGACATTTGTATACATGATCAGAAGTACAGAGTGATTCAAAACACACTGGATGCACTTGTCGTGTGAAGTCTGCTCAGAAGTTTTTCCAAACATCCAAAAGAAAAGTTTAGGACTTCAAACTTGAATTTAAACATCCTACATGTGTAAGAATCACAGCGACATTTTATAGCACAGCACATGTCTTATTTTAGACATTTGTGTCCCATACATGATCGGATTTAAAAGCGGTTGAATGATGAGGAAATACAGAGACAGAAAGATTCGCAGAGCACTGGGTACACTGGTCGTATCAAACCTGCTCTGGAGTATTTCAAATAAACACCCAAAAGAAAAGTTTAGGAGGGAGGCCAGGTGAGGCGCACAGGTACTGACAGCTTTACGTCTCATCTGTCTGGACCCAGAAAAACACACTTTGAGTATTTTCATGTAGGAGTAGAAGATTGGAAGCAGAGGAACTAAAACAGTGATGACAATACCAAAAAGCCCAAAAAGATTATTCAGGTTGGTGTCTGAACAGGCCAACTTTACAACTAGGTAGTTATGGCAATACAGCCCATTTATGATTTTCCCACACCACGTCAGACGGAGGGTTAAACACAACGTGATCGTGAATTTCACAAAAGAGTACAACCATATGACAACAATGAGGATAACTACTTTGTTATCCGTCATATGTGATTTGTAGTGCAGGGGATAACAGACAGCGAGATATCGGTCATAAGACATGACGGCTAAATTACAAAACTCTACGTGTCCATACGTGTAGAGACAAAAGATCTGCAGGAAGCAGAGAGGAGCAGAAACAGTGTGAACATCAGAGAGGATCTGAAGCAGGAGGAACGGAAACAGCCCTGTACTACCATACAGCTCATTCACAAACAGGCTGCACAGAAACATGTACATAGGTTCATGTAAGCTTCTGTTCACACAGATAACCACAATCAGAGACGTGTTCACAAAAACTATACTAAAGTATAACAGCGCAATTAACACAAAGAACAAGTATTTCAAACTTCCTACATATATATATGTGCTGAGGATAAAGTAAGGCACAGTTGAGTTCACCATTGTTCTTGCTTTAAGTGAAAAAGCAAATGTTTGAAAACTAGAAACAGGTTTGCTTCTCATGTCTCATCACACACTCATTCTTCTGACAAATGCTGAAATAGTCCAACATTTACTCTCATGCCTGCCTCCAGTACTCTGAACTTGTTTCTGCAGCCGATTTCTGCACTGAGTCTTCAGCAACATCTGCTGCTTTATATTTCCCATAATAGTTCCCATAAGAGCATCATTAACGCATGTCAGGCCAAGCCATCAGTACAGCACACACTTTACTGTAATAGATGTCTGTTACTATTCTGATATTAAAATATGATGTGAAGGTAAACTAGAAAACTGCGATAATCCTGTGTGGAGTTTTAAAAATACAGTGTTGAACCAAAAGATGAATTTTGATATTTAAATGATAAAATAAAAGGACAGTGTGTGCCCATTTGTTTCTACATTAAAATTTTCTGTCAGAAAAAAAACACACATACAAATATATGATTTCTTCAAGGATTAAAAAAAGCATCGTTATTAAAAGTATTACCGTACGGTGTAAGAAGTGCAAACCATTAGAGAAAAAAGCTACTCTTAGTACCATTGATGTTAAGTTAGACTCTTTTTCTCCAATTGATCTTTCTGAGTTAACTTCAATAATTACTTCCTCCAAACCATCAACGTGTCTTTTAGACCCCATTCCTACAAAACTGCTCAAAGAAGTCCTGCCATTAATTAATTCTTCGATCTTAAATATGATCAACCTATCTCTAATGATCGGCTATGTACCACAGGCCTTCAAGCTGGCTGTAGTTAAACCTTTACTCAAAAAGCATCTCTAGACCCAGCAGTCTTAGCTAATTATAGGCCAATCTCCAACCTTCCTTTATATCAAACATCCTTGAAAGAGTAGTTGTCAAACAGCTAACAGATCATCTGCAGAGGTTATTTGAAGAGTTTCAGTCAGGTTTCAGAGCTCAGCACACAAGAAACAGCTTTAGTGAAGGTTACAAATGATCTTCTTATGGCCTCTGACAGTGGACTCATCTCTGTGCTTGTCCTGCTAGACCTCAGTGCAGCGTTCGATACTGTCGACCATAATATCCTATTAGAGCGATTAGAACATGCTGTAGGTATTACAGGTACTGTGCTGCAGTGGTTTGTATCATATCTATCTAATAGACTCCAGTTTGTGCATGTAAATGGAGAGTCCTCTTCACACACTGAGGTTAATTATGGAGTTCCACAGGGTTCAGTGCTAGGACCAATTCTGTTTACATTATACATGCTTCCCTTAGGCAGCATCATTAGAAGACATAGCATACATTTACACTGCTATGCAGATGACACCCAGCTCTATCTGTCCATGAAGCCAGATAACACACACCAATGAGTTAAACTGCAGGAATGTCTTAAAGACTTAAAGACACAAAATCATGCGATGTGTACATGTATGTATGTGTGTATGTAGATAGATAGATAGATAATAACTTCAGTGCCAGAACAAGCTACCTGTACAGTAGGGTAGTTATCACAGTACAAACTGTTTATGATGCTCCCACAGAGTCAGATGGAGGCTTAAACATATAGTAATAGTAGATGAGTACAACCATATCATAACAATGAAGACATTCACCTTTTGAAATGTTATATGGGATATAAATGTTTATTGCAGGAATATTATTTTTCAGTACCCAGATTTTTGTTTATGTCTATATTTTGTTGGTGTTTGAGCAGATCTGAGCATAATCTGTTTCATAAGTTAAACTACAAGGTTGATACTTCTGTTGTCGCTAGCCACAATACATAATCTAAGTAAACTGATCCTGCAATGAGTGATCTAAAGTATGTTTCCCTGAATGTTAAAGGGATAAACAATGTTATTAAACGTAAGAAAATTTTGACCTGGTTTAAGAAGGAGAAAACTAACATTGCTCTCCTGCAAGAAACTCACCTCTCAGATGTGGAACACCTAAAACTAAAGAGAGAATGGGTGGGGCAGGTGTGCTTTTCTTCTTTTTCATCAAGTAAGAGAGGGGTTGCAATTTTAATTCATAAAAATACCCCATTTGTTCTTACAAAGTGTATTAAAGTTGATCAGGGTAAATTTGTCATTAGGACGTTTACATGGGGAATCTGTTCTGATAGGCTGTATTTATGCTCCGAATGTATATCTGGAAAATTTTTACTCAGAACTTATAAAAGAAATATCTGTCAATTTGACAACATTTACTGTTCTGGCAGGAGATTTTAATTGTAGCATAGACCCAGAAATGGATCAAAATCCACCACCCAACAACTCAGTATCCAAAAAGCAAGAAGCTATCAAGGGACTGTGTTCTGACTTGCAGCTGATAGACGTTTGGAGAACTCTTCATCCAGGTGAAAAAGATTATACTTTTTATTCTAATCCACATAAGAGTTTTTCCCGTATTGATTATTTCCTTGTCTCGAGGGAGGTCAACAGAGTTAGTATTTGTGATACTGGTACGCGTATACTCTCTGCAGATGTTCATTTAAAGATTTCACCTCCTGAAGCTCACCCAACTCTACGTAGTTGGCGATCAAATCCATCACTTTTAAATAATCCTATGTTTCGGAGTTATATAAAAGAACAAGTGGATCTTTTTTTACGGACAAATGATAATAAACACAAATCCTTTTGTCCTTTGGGAGACAATGAAGACATACTTACGTGGCGCTATAATTTCATACAGTATAGCGAAAAAGAAAGAATCTTTAAAACATCAAATGGACCTGGAAAAAAAATGAGCAGATCTAGAGCACTCCCTCAAAATACATTTTTCACCTGACGTACTGAAAAAAATAGAAGCCAGTGGAGGTGGTGAGTGACAGGAGAACGGTGGCTAAGCTGTCGTCCCTGTTGGACAACATCTCCCAGCCCATGCAGGAGACTGTGACAGCACTGAGCAGCTCCTTCAGTGGCTGCAGCACCCACGGTGGTCTTTCCTCCCCACTGCTGTCAGACTCCACAACAAAGACTCCAGCTGATCAAACACATCCACACATGTGCAATAACACTAAGTGCAATACTCTTTCTGGCATCGTTGTATTATACTCAATTGTATTTGTCTATAGTATTTTATTTTTATTTTATTTTATTCTATTGTGTACAGTATCTCATAGATATATTATTCCAGTGTTTTTTCTCTAATTTTTCTATGCAACTTTGCACTGTCCACTGCTGTAACAAAAGAAATTTCCCACGCGTGGAACTAATAGAGGTTATCTAATCTTATCTTATCTTATCTTATCTATCTTATGCATGTTATGATGAGTAATTTACTGCAACAGAAGTTTTCCGACATGTATACAAAAAAAAAAGAAATATATGCAAAGGTGCACACAAACAACACTTTGTGATTAATAAGTCATGTATTTGGTTTTTGCAGCTTTGATACCTTGTTGTATCTGATAATTTAACAAAAAGATGTTAAAAAATTTTCTGCGTCCATGAAATAAGGCCAAACTGGAGCCATCATATTTGGCACTTTTTAAAAAGAAAGACTGAACTGCTTATTTGCTCATGAACCTTTTTTGTTCTCCGCTCTGTTAAAAATCAGCTAAATCGAGAAGCAATCATACAGCTGCCATCAGACAAAGTTGATTAATTTCCCCTGATTTGATGACATAATCATCATCGCATAACTAAGTGATGCTTTTCTTCACACTTCACTGTCACACCTGATTTTAAGGTTCCCACTCACCAAATTCTAGTTTAACCCTGATGAAAACCAAGGTGATCCAAGATGGCAGCGGCTCACAGCTCCTCCCATTTGGTGCTTTGTTTTGGGGTTCGTTTGTTTTTTGTTATCTTGATAATGTCAGTAATGGCGTGTTGCGAAGAGACTACTGTTTTTCAGCAACACAGCACTGGAACCAGTCACATTTCCATATATTGTCTCTTTGCTGCTGAAAAGCCGTCTTCATTTCTGGACACATTGATGCAAGCAGCCACAAAAAACAGGACCCGATGTGCCATTCAGCAGTGAACATCAGCGCCCATCTAAAGGTTTCTTGGTGTTTTTCCTTCCAACTGTTGCCATGTGTTTGCTCACAACCTGTTCTTAAAAAATGTAGCACTGCCCAAAATGACCCTGCAAACTATAGGCCGATTTCCAAACTTCCTTTCTTGGGTAAAACAAGAAAACAGTCCTTTTGCAACTACGGGCCCATCTAGATGCGAATATCATCACTGATAAATTCCAGTCTGGGTTCAAACATGTCATAGTACAGAAACGGCATTGTTGAGAGTTTTCAGTGATCTCCTTTTAATCACTGATTCAGGGCACTCAGCGGTTTTAGTTTTATTGGATTTGTCCTCAGCGTTTGATTTAGTGGACTCCAATATCCTTTTAACGAGGCTAGAACACATGGTAGGCATTAAGGGTACTGCTCTTAGTTGGTCTAAATCGTACCTTTCTGAAAGGTCCTTCGCTGTTACGATGGGAAATTACTCTTCCTCTGTTGCCCCCTTTTCCTGTGGTGTGCCCCAAGGGGCTGTGTTGGGCCCTATGTTGTTTTCTTTTATTTGTTACCTCTAGGTCGCATCTTTGAAAAATATAAAATTTCCTTCCATTGTTACGCAGATGATATTCAAATTTACTTTCATCTGACTGAGGATGTCTTACTGTCGCTACGCTGCCTTTTTGATTGTATGAGAGAAGTTAAGGATTGGTTATTGAGTAACTCACTCATTTTAAATGAAAAGAAAACAGAAATTCTTGTTTTTGACAGCCATATTCCTAGGGACCAACTGACAGGTTCCCTTGGGCAGTTTGCACCGTTCTTTCTGACACTGTAAGCGACCTGGATGTTCTCTTGGACATTTTTTTTAAACTTGACAAACAAGTCTCCACTGTAGTTAAATCTAGCTTTTACCAATTACACCAAATTGCCAAGGCCAAGCCTTACATACCCTGTAAGGACCTTGAGAAACTTATCCATGCCTTTATTGCCTTTAGATTAGACTACTGTAACTCCCTCTATATTGGCCTCCAATC